AGAAAGCAAAGAAGAACTAAAGAGTCTCTTGATGAAAGTGAAAGAGGAGAGTGAAAAAGTTGGCTTAAAACTCAACATTCAGAAAACTAAGATCATGGCATCCAGTCCCATCACTTCATGGCAAATAGATGGGGAAACAATGGAAACACTGAGAGACTTCATTTTGGGGGGCTCCAAAATCACTGCAGATGGTGACTGTAGCCATGAAATTAAAAGGCACTTGGTCCTTGAAAGAAAAGCTATGACCAACCTGGACAGCATATTAAAAACAGAGGCATGACTTTGCCAACAAAGGTCCATCTAGTCAAAGCTATGATTTTTCCTATAGTCATGTATGGATGTGAGAGTTGGACTGTAAAGAAAGCTGAGAACTGCAGAATTGATGCTTTTGAACTGTGGTGTTGGAGAAGACTCTTGAGAGTCCCTTGGACTGCAAGGAGATCCAACCAGTCCATCCTAAAGGAGGTCAGTCCTGAATATTCATTGGAAGGACTGATGCTGAAGCTGAAGCTCCAATACTTTGGCCACCTCATTTGAAGAACTGACTCATTGGAAAAGACCCTGATACTGGGAAGGATTGAGGGCAGGAGAAGGGGATGGCAGAGGATGAGATGGTTGGATGGCATCACCGACTCAGTGGACATGAGTTGAGTAAGCTCCGGGAGTTGGTGATGGATAGGGAGGTCTGGCGTGCTGCAGTCCATGGAGACGCAGAGTCATACACCACTAAGTGGCTGAAATGAACTGAACTGAATTCCAAGATAATAGGTATCGCAGTTTCATTGATCAGTAATGAAAAGTTCTTGTTAATTTGACAGTTCCAATAGGTTACACTAGTGTTTTGACCAGAAAATATGTCCCTGATACTAATTAGGTTGAACCTGTCTTAACCCTTTCAACTCTTTGAAGCTAATCCCAATACCCACAGAGGGTATCAAAGGGCAGTCCACTCCCTGCCAGCACAGTTGAGCTCCATCAGGAAAGGTTCCAAGTTATAAGAGACCCATCATTCTCTCTGATTAAAAGTCATTAGTGTCACTCATACTTACTTCCTAACAGATATCTAAATATTAATTAAATGTATTCTGAAAGAAAGTAAAAATTTCATTAGCTCAATAGTGGATTAAATTAACTTCCTAAAACAAAGGCTCTTTTGCCTAGAATCTATAAACCAAGGCAGTGCAAGTCAGGGTCATGCAGGTTCAGAGATTTAAAAGAAGCTCTCAGAGGGTATAGTGAGATCACTGACAGGGTTGTTTCTGATACACCAATAACCAAGATGAGACAGCTAAGAATCAAGCCCCAAAAAGAAACCAGATACCATGGCCCTTGACACCTATATATGTTCATTTGTATAATGTTATTTTCCAAGAACATATCAAAATGATTTGAAGTATCTAACAGTTTTCTGCATTTAGCGGATTCCCTGCAGTGGGGTAAGGTGACCTGGGTTTGCATCCTAGCCTTTCCACTGACGAGGGAGAGTTAAGTTACTGAACCCTAAGAGCCTAAATGTGCTTACTGTGAAAATGGTACATGCATGCCTGTGTGCTACCTTGCTTCAGTCGTGTCCACTCTTTGCGACCCTATAGACTGTGACCCACCAGGCTCCTCTGTCCATGGAATTCTCCAGGCAAAAATACTGGAGTGGGTTGCCATGCCCTCCTCTAGAGAATCTTCCCAACCCAGGGATCGAACCTGCATCTCCTGCAACTCCTGCATTGCAGGCAGATTCTTTACCACTGAAACTGGTACAATCATATCCACTTCAAAGAGTGATCGTGAACATGCAGTTTGGAGAACGTCTTCAAAGAGCCGAGCCTATTTCTCAGTAAACATCAGTTCCTGTTCTTTCTGCCCCTACTGCAAAATATCCAATGTGTTTTCAATGCAGTTAAAAATCAACCATGTGTCCTGGTGATTTTCTTTAAGAATATCACCTGTAGGGGGGAAAGACAATGTGTAAATACAGGAGAATATTCTATATTACGTGACCTGTGGTGTGTGATTCAATCGGTATGTTTCTCTCCTCCTCAGGTTTCCAGAGAGGAAGGGTCTCCCCAGCTGACTTCAGCAGGGCCCTCTCCTGCCCAGCGGAGCAGTCAGCCAAGCAGTTCTGCCATCCTGAACGTGCTGCGTGGGGGCGGGGCCGTCAGAAACATCTGGACTGACCACCAGATCCGCCAAGCCCTGTTTCCCAGTCGAAGGTCGCAGGAGAACGAGGAGGATGAAGACGACTATCAGATGTTCCTGCCATCCTTCTCCTCCTCGGACCTGAACTCGGCCCAGCTGTGTGAAGATAGCACTTCTAGTCGACCTTGCAGCTGGCACATGGGACAGATCGAGTCCGAGGAGACCCCCGGCTCAGGCCACAGGGTGGTGCGGCGGGCCAGCAGTGCTGGCGAGAGCAACACGTGTCCCCCTGACATAAGAACTAGGGACAGTGGTGGCTCTCAATACAGCTCCCGGAGGGAACTGCAGGGTGACCCTAAAACAGAGGGGCGGGACGGGACAACTCCCTACGGGTCCTCCATAGAGCTGACTATAGATGACATAGACCATGTCTATGACAACATAAGCTACGAGGACTTGAAACTGATGGTTGCTAAACGTGAAGATGCTGAAGTCACTCCCCACAAACCAATCAGGGACTCTGTTCGCCCCAAGAGCACCCCCGAGCTGGCCTTCTCCAAGAGGCCAGCGGGACCCGAGGAGGAGAGTGCATTGCACCCCAGGAGAGATGGAGCCCCCCCGGCCGGGGAGGCCTGGAACCAAAGCGTGCAGGACCTCCAGGTGATGGAGGAGAACGTCTATGACACCATTGCGCTCCCAGAGGCGCCCTCCCGGGACTTCAAGTGCAGCAGCCCGAAGCGTCCTGCCAGGAGCACCTTCCTCGGCTTGGAGGCCGACTTGGGGTGCTGTGATAGCCTGCGGGCGTCTGCTTCCCAGGACAGCCTCCAGTTCAGCGAGGACGAGGCGCCCTACCCCCCAGGCCCCTCCGATAACGATTATCTGAGTTTGCTCTATAACTCCTTCGGCTGCAACTTGGCCCTAGCGGATCGGTCCATCTCTGATAAACTGTCTGAAGAAGTAGATGAAATCTGGAATGACTTGGAAAATTACATCAAGAAAAACGAAGTCAAAGCCAGAGACCGGCTCCTGGCCGCGTTTCCCGTTAGCAAAGATGACGTGCAGGACCGGCCGCTGGCAGGCAGCGCCCCGGAGCTGAGTGCGCGCTCCCCACTCTCACTGCCCGCGGGTCGGGCTCTCCTCGCACCGCCCGGAGACAGGCCCGGGCCGGCCCCCTGCGCCCTGGACCGCGCCCCGGCCCCTAGAGACAGCTCCTGCCTGAGTCTCCACCGGCTGTCGCTGGCCAGTGACCTACCACCCGCGGAGAGTCCTTATGATGTGGCCGGCGGCAGCCTGTCCCCAGTAGACCTAGAGAACCCTGAGCCCGGGATGGACAATGTAGACAAGACCAGGAGCAGGGTTTTCCTGATGGCCAGGCAGTACAGTCAGAAGATCAAGAAGGCAAATCAGCTGCTAAAGGTGAAAAGCCCGGAGCTGGAACACACGGCCGGTAGCCAGCCGCAGAAGCCCGCACCCAAGGACCTGGCGGCCATCCTAGAAGAGAAGAGGCAGGGCGGGCCCGCCATCGGTAGGTCCCAAGCAGCCTTTCTCCTTCCGAGGACCGGCAGAGAGCCACGCTCAGGTTCTAAATGCCCCTAGCGCCCTAAGGATGCTGCCACCAGGATGTTCAATCTCACAGTGAGACCGCTGGCTCACTGACACGCAGGCAAAGCACCCACCCCATCACACCAGTGGGTCTGGAGGGTTTCCTGGTGTCTGTGACGACATCACTCCAGACATAACTGCTGGAAGCGGCTTTCTCTAATTTAATCTAAGGTTGAAAAATAGCCTTCGGTTTCACTGGTGGCATCTAGAGCTTTTCTCTTGTGCATCAGTGTGTTAGAAGGAGTAGCTGGGTAGCAGAGTGAAGAGTTTAAGGTTTGGACACACATGTAATTAGGATTGCTCTTTGCTCCAGAATCCCAACAATAATGCCTACTCATCCTGACAAAGACAAAAAGGAGTCCTTTCTGCAGTTTTTTTAAACTGTTCATACTAATCCCGCTGTTTTCCATGTGTTGCTTTTTTCTTTTTTTAATAGCTTCTATAATCCATTTGATACAATGTCATTTGGTATTCTCAGGTATGCTTCCAAGGAATTTAATTCTTTTAGTCAAGCCTCCTTTTGGCACAGAACTAAACCAGGATCACGGGTGTGATATTGGTACCATTAGGGTTAAAAGAATGAGATAATCATGTTTGACTTCTTCTCGATTATAAAGAAGTACAGGAATTTCCCTGGTGGTCCTGTGGTTAGGACTTAACACTTTTACCGCAGGGTCCCAAGTTCAATCCCTGGTCAGGGAACTAAAATCCTGCATGCCTCAGCACATGGGAAAAAATATACATATCCCCTGGCTAAACTACACAGGGTTCTCAGTGGAACCCGGGCATCTATATGAATAAAGCACAGGATTGTCATGGAAAGAAAAAACCTGAGGGTGCTGTGACCTGAGGAATTTTTCACCTCCAGATTCAGAGAGATTTCTGTGATTAGGCTCAGGAATCTGAGTTTTGTAAACTACAGGCTTTCCATCCTATCCTATTTTAGGAATCCCTGCCCTAGATCTTCTGACTAAGAACTGCCTCTGTATCAAATGAGAGGAGACAATTCTCCAATTAGAAGTAAAAACCAGATGGCTCACTATCTGGGCATGTCTTGTTAATTAGCTTGATGGTAACATGGCTCATCCGGCCAGCTTGATGCCGCTGACTTCCTGTCTTTGGGACTACTTTCTTAGGTGGGAATCAGAGAATAAGAAGCAGGTATCCGAGTCCTAAGTGCACTCAGCAAGCTGCATGACCAGAATCTGTAAGAAAAAAAAAAAAATTAAGTTTGGGAATGTTTAAGAGTTATCATACAGTAAGATTTCTTAACATTTAAGGATGTTAAGCCCTGGACATGTTACCTGGAGGATTTTACAGACTCTTTGACTTGTTCTTCTTTTTAAGTAAAATAAAGGTTATAAGTGATCTTTATACAAATATGATAAAGGCTGGATCGCATATATCTTTCTCTTTGCAGTAACATGCTTGAATTAATTCGCGTCCCTTTTCCAACGCTAGTGTTGCTAAACTGATTTGTTGTTACACGTAGAACAAGTGACTGAATTTCAGCTGCAAGCGGACTGTTTTTTAGAGCGTAAGTGGCGTTTGGCAACGCAACCACTGACTGTGTGGTTGCCCAGACTAGGGCACTTCAGAATGAGAGCAAATACAATAGTGAGGTTTCCGTTGGATTGATTAGGCCAGCACATTGTCATTTAAAAAGAGGTAATTGCCTGAGGCACGTTGTTTGGAATATGGACCATCCATTAACATACAAAGTTCTAACCCTGCGAGAAGCAAGGTCTTCAATACTGAATCTTGAGGGTTCAATGACAACTTTGAATAGTCCTTTTTACCCACCTTTTAAATATTAAGTAGATTTCTCTTTGGGGTTTTCTTTTGCTTTTCCCCCCACTTTTGGTTTGTTCTTTCTGTTTTGCCTACTGGTGTCTTCCTGGGCTCCTGTAGGGTCTTTTTGTTTTTCAGCTCTGTGTCTGGGCCCTTTCTCCACACAGTGGGCTGCCGTGAACGTTCTGACAAAGAGATCTCTCCAGAGTCACCTTCTGAGAGTGGTGTCTCTCCCTGCTGGCTGGCGGGACTATGTTCCTAGGGCCCGCCTCTCAGACCTGAGGACTCTTCCATCTGGGTGGATGGAGACCACTGCCTGTGCCCACCAGGCTTTCAACCAGTTGACTTGATGACTGCTTTTCTCTCTCTTGTTTATCTGGGCACAGGACATCGTAATCGAATGGACCGATTCTCCAGACTTCTCCGTGTGGGCCTTGCCACTTTGCCAGGAGCTTGCTCTCGGTGTTGTGCGGAAGGAAGAACGCCCTATTCACCTGCTGAAACTCTCCAGCACCTTTATTGAACTCTCTAGCCGGGGTCTACAGGCCCCGGGCCGGGCCACACTTCCGCCTATAAGTCACCCAACCAGGTCTAGTCCCTCCCACCTTTTGGAGCATGTTGTAGCATGCTGGCCATCTTGTCCCATCAGGCCTTCCTCCTGACAGTCTTAGAGACCAAAGAAGCTTTGGATTCCCTCCCNTTTTTTTTTTTTTTTTTTTTGGTGATATTTTACATGGGAGAAGACTCCATACAGATTTGAGGAATTTTCCTCCTTGTTTAAAGTAAGAAAGGCAAAATAACATTTTGTTCTCTACACTCAAGCAACATTAGAATCATCAATTTTAATCCTGTCTTGAAAATAATCTATTTCATACTTCTGTCAATAAGAATCACTTCAAATTTTTGTCTGGAATGACAAGAATTTTCCCTTCTAAACTTACAAAAGAGAAATAAACTACAGTTAGCCCCTGGGGTTGTAGAATAATAATAATAATGTACTTGGTCTATAAGGACTGGTAATGCCAGAACTAAGAATGAGGGAGAATTTTGATCCTGCTGACTTCTACTAAGTTTTCTAGGCTAGCGGTGTCATCTTGAGCTGGCTATTTCTTATATGTCTGACTAAGGGAATCTATTTCATGACAGCCTATTGCTCTGAAAGCTTGTCTCATGTTTTTGTTAGCATCAGGCAAGTTATAGACTCTTAGAATGTCAAGCTGAGACCAAAAAGACACACAGATAGGCACAGAATATTATCTACTTGTGAGATACTTTTTGTTTCAAATTTATAAATGGTCAGCTTTCTATTATCTGAAGATAAACTGTGCCCATTATGAATTGTATAAAATATATATGTTTACATAGCATTTTATTATGTTTCTGTCTTTCTGCTTCTCCTTTTCCTGCTATGCCCAAATTCTTGGCTGCCTTTCCAGTCTTACTGGTATAGTCTTAAGGAAGGCACCTTTATTTTTAACATATTTAGAATGAACGGAGGCTGTCCAAAAATTATCTGAGTAATTAAGTAGTTCTTGAGACCAATTTCTATCCAGAACTGTGCTTGGATTTCTGTGGGGATTGTTTTGTGGGGGAGTAGATGGAATAATAAACCAGCTTAGATAAAACAACTAGCAACACAAGATTGTGTGCATGAATGCATATATACATATATAAGCAACAGCTAAATATTATGCTGCATACTAGTATATAAGACTTCAGAGAAATCAGTTAGAAAGGGATTTATAGAAGTGATAAGGCTTATAGAGGGTCTTGGGAGGTAAATAGGGCTTGATTAAGCAAAAGAAGAAGAAAGTGTGATTAAGAAAAAAGCATGAGAAATACTGTGACTATATTGAATAATACATAGTTTGAGATTTATCTGGGCCACCATGTTCTAAAAATCAAGAGCTAACTGTTCTTATAAGACTTTAGAGTTAAATTTTGGTGCTGTAGTAGTTTAAGTGAATTTTTAAAATTAGCCCTCACTGCTCTTTCCCAAATTGTCATTTTCTTGGAAGCTTGTGAAAGTACAGAGCCTTCCTGATTCAGCAGTAGGATCAGGCTCAGAGCCATGGTGTAGGTGAGAAATGCTTGGAAAGAACTGTCTTGATTTTCAGGTGGGACTGCTGAGCAAAGCCAGGCCTAAAGCTCCAGCTGACATTGGTTGGGTTTCATAGTTGACTAAACTTTGTATATTTCAGGATGGCTAAGTCCATGTAGGTTTTCAGTCTCTTAGGGGGTTACCAAATTTTAATTGGTATCAAGAGTCTTTACTATGCTCTTTAAGGAGTAATAGTTCAAGTTTTTGTTACTAGTTTAAGCTAATAATCTCTGTCCTTCAAAGGGATTTGGACTCAAAAGCCTAAAGGATCTGAATGAATGTAGGGTCTAAAACGAGAAGATGAACACTGTTTATCCTGATTCCGGGGACTAAGGGGCAAGTAGTTTTGAGGAAGTTGCAGTTAAAGGGCACACAGAATATCAGCACCTTGTTTTCTGTCCTCACAGAAGACAAATTTGAAAGAAATGTCAGGAACTCAACTAAATATTTAGTTTAACTTCAAGGAATGATTTACTAGAAATAGCTTAAGTAGGAAATATGATGTCACTTGCTGGTCATTATATACAGGATAGACAGCTTCCTTTCGTAGAGACTTTCTAGATGTGGTCTGAGCGATTTATAGGATTCTTGGAATTATTTGATTCTGCAGTGGTCATATGGGTACCTGGATGGGGGAAGACAACTTTTGAAATTGACATCTCTGGGCTCTCTCTTCTAAATCATTCCTGGCCCAGGAGAATTCTCTATCTTGGTTTTGTTAATGTCTTTAGAAATGTCTGTACTCTGGGACTTCCCTGGTGGCCCAGTGGTTAAGACTCTGTGCTTCTACTTCAGGGAACAGGGGTTTGGTCCCCAGGCTAGGGAACTAAGATCCCATGTGCCACCTGGCAGAGCCAAAAAGCAAAAATTAATAAAATGGAAATGTCTGCACTCAGAAGTGGAGCAGAGAGGATAGTGGCCTCACAGCTTAATCTGAAATGGCAATAGCTTTCATGGAAATAGTGGTAAAATCCTGTCCTGTAACCAGTACTAGAGAGCATTAGATTATCGATTATATGCACAGGATGATTCATTCTTAATGTCTTGAAAGCCAAGACATTAAGACTTGGAAGACTTGTCTTGGAACACTTCAGTGGCTTCCTTCTCGGTGATAGGAAAAGAGACGTGGGCCAGCCGATATGTGTGGTCTTGAAGTCCTGGAAGTGAGGACCTCCTGTCAACATCCCCAGACGGTGGCAGTGGGGGGCTGCCCGGAACAGAAAGTGTAGGAACAGCTGCTAGGAGCAGACTTTTCTGGGAGTAGTTGTGTGAGAGCAGCCAAGCCTGGTGAGGCAGGGTTAGTAGCCACTGCATGGTGGGTGTGCTTCTTTTAATGACTACTTGAGTTATTTTTTGTTGACCAGGGTTTAAGTGCTGACTTTCTTATTTTTATGATGCCTGTTTTTAGCATTGACACTATTCCATGCTTGTAAAGAACACTAGAAATTTTCATTACAAACAGGGAGCCCTTGTAGACCTGCTGTTGAAATAAAAGAATCCAGAATTAGGTCAAATTAAATGAAGTTTTAGGTGGCTTTTTTTTTTTATTAAACTGTATTAGTTTAACTAATTGATTTAACTTAATTTGTGTTGCTTAGCATTTGATGATTTCTATCCTCAAACTTTAAAGTCCTGTCTACTGTTTAAATATTTTAAATATGTTATTAGAACATTCTTAGTTTTTAAATCTTCACATGCAGAAATGATTCTGTGTATATTTATTGTTTTAATACTTGCCTTCCAGGTGCCAGGATTGCTGAGTATTCCCAACTGTATGACCAGATTGTATTCAGAGAGACACCCTTTAAGACTCAGAAGGATGGCTGGGCCAGCCCTCAAGACCCCTCCAACCTCAGTTCTGCATCACCTTCCCACGCCCAGCAGGGTAGCGAGGACTGGCTTTTGCATTCAACCTATAGTAACGGAGAGTTAGCTGACTTCTGTCCCTGGCCAGAGAAGGACTTAAAGTCAAAATATCCCACATTAGAGATCAAAACAAGAAGTACCCCAAGACAACTGTCCGCAGCTTGCTCCGTGCCTTCTCTTCAAACCTCCGACCCTCTGCTGGGCTCCATGCAGAGACACAGCGTGGTGGTCAGCCAGCCAAACAAAGAGAACTCCTGCCAGGCTCATCTTTACAACTCTCTGGGTCGGAAAGGAATCAGTGCTAAATCTCAGCCTTATAACAGGTCCCAGTCATCTTCCTCCATCCTGATAAACAAGTCTGCGGACTCCATCAACTACCCTAGTGAAGTGGCAAAGAAGCAGCCTCTGTCTTTACACAGAACTTCAAGGTGGGAGAGTCACCAGGATTTGCTGCCAAGTATTGCTGACTCAGGTCAACAGGGCCTTGAAAAACGCTCAGATCTCACACTCCAGGACTCGCAGAAAGTTTTGGTAGTGAATAGAAATTTACCTTTAAGTGCTCAAATAGCTACCCAGAACTATTTTTCCAATTTCAAAGAGACCGAAGGAGACGAAGATGACTATGTGGAGATCAAGTCAGAAGAAGATGAGTCAGAGTTAGAACTGTCTCACAGTCGGAGGAGGAAATCTGACCCAAAGATTACAAACGCTGACTTTGCTGATAATGTCTGCAGCCACACAACTTCTTACTCTTTGAATAGTCCATGCACTCCAAAAAAGCCAGTAAGTGGCAAACTTGGGATTTCGCCCTATCTGACACCATACAATGATCCCGACAAACTAAATGACTATCTCTGGAAAGGGCCATCTCCCAATCAGCAAAATATTGTCCAGTCTCTAAGGGAAAAATTCCAGTGTCTTAGTTCAAGCAGCTTTGCCTAAAGGTTCTTAAGAGTAGCTGTCTCAATTAACTTCTTACTGTGCTCATGAATTACAGATTCTGAGAGGTGTTTTGTATGCACCAGATTAAAACAACTTTGTAATAACCAGAGATGTAAAATATACTTTCTTTAATAGCACAATTTTTTGAAACGGCTGGCGATCAGCCAGGATTGTACTGTAGCAAATGTCAGCATGTAACACTGTTTACTAATGCTGATGGTCTTCATGTTTAATGTAAGTCAATCTTCCTTGAAAATTTTTAGACTTTTTTTTTTTTTAACATGATGGCCATGGTATTTTTTTTCCCTCTTCTGACAATTAGTACTCAGACTTTAAGAAATGCAATAATCCTCTCCTATTATCTGGAAGCCACTAGTTAGTTTTATCCTAGGACTCAGAGGCGACACGGAAGAAAAAAGAAAGGAAGCTAAAGCTGTTTAAAGGATTATGCTTACCTGTGACATTTCTGTTAAATTCATGACAAGACCCTAGAAAACCTCAAATGAGGGATCTCTAATCAGAATATTGTGTAGATACCCATTTTAGGGTTTCTATACTGACTTCCTTACATCAGTTCATTATATTGCAGAAAGTGTGTAATTATTGGAAATTAGAATGTAATATGACCAAACTTCTATAAGCAAAAAATCTGTATTCCTGAACAAAACCTGAAGAATGTGCTGCTCATCATGTATTTTATGTTCCATGGGGTTAAATGAATGATTCCCTTAATGGTTTAAAACCAAGTGCAAGAAAATGCAAATCGACTTATTAGAAAAGATGGGTTGACATCTGGATACAACTTGACTATCTCATCATGTGACAGTTGGGGGTAGGGAGCAGAAAGAAACCTCCACTACTTTTTATGCCTGTTTTTAGTCAACACGAAGTAAACCATAAGCAAAAACAATGTTCTTTAAACCTAGTCTTCCCAGAGCAGTTGTGCAGATTGTCCTTTCCTGAGTTTTGTGCTCATCCCGATGACCTGAACCCAGCTTGAGGATTTTATCGATGGCAATGACATTTATTTTCTAATCCAAACATAATATGGCAGTCTTTTTTCATTGTTTGGGGGCATACAGAAGAGCAAAATCTTTGGTCACCAAGTTCTGACTAGTCATATCTTACTTTCATGTTGTAATTGTGGCCTTTAAATAGCAGTTCATTGTGATATTATGTACTGATACAATTCTTTATGGAAGGGAACAGAAAAACAAAAGCAAGACCTTGTGAGTGAAACACAAAATTAAAGAAGCTGAAGAAAAAAATGATAGCGGATTTATTACTGCTTTCTAAAAATATTTTATTGAAGACTCCAATCAATGAAAAAAGAATCTTTTCTCAAACAGTGGCCTTTGCATTCTCATTTTAGCTACATTCTGTGGTCCCTTCCCCACCCTCTCAGCTTTCATCTTAAAAGATATAATAATCTGTATAGGGAAATGGGATCTGGGCTTTTCATTTAAAGATAAGTAATGATGTTGATTTGAATCAGTAATTTGAGTCATCTTAGCATAATTCTTTTTTGCTGTTTAAGTGCTATGCCTCTTGTACTTAAGAACATAAAATGTGACCATCCTTATCTTATACACAGGTACCTAATGCATTCCTTTTCTAACTAACAAAAAAATAACCCATTTCTTCTTTTTCTATACTGTACTTTCTTCTCGTAGCTTATAAAACAAAGTCCATATTGACGAACAGTTTTCTGGAAACATTCCTTCTTTCATTGCCTTTCTTTAAACATAACATGAGTTTTCAAGATGAAGCAGTATAGAAAAGAAAAGCATAGTAACAGAGTGTGGATTCTCAGACTTGCTAGAGATATTTGTAAGTGTGTTTACAAAACAAAGTTACCTGACTTTCTCGTCCCAGGAACACGATTTCCCAGTTCTGCTTTTTAGTTTGTAAGACCCAAATTCTGTATTATCCATATCTGGTGTCTTACTCTCAGAAATTATTAATTCTCCACACCAGTCCTGTTGCACAACTTTGATATTACTTATAGGAATACACCCTGCTTCACGAAGGCTGCTGTCTTACTGTATAAAATGTCTGTATGGTTGTCTTTAGGTTCTAGGACAAATCTGTAGTTCTGAACACCCCTTCTGTCAGCCAGGATGCAGATTTTGAGATCTGTGTGTACACATATCATCAGGTTCATATTTTCCCTCAAAGTTATCCATTGAGTGCTCTTGTTTAAAATAGTTTCAAAAAAATAAAATAGTTTCTTTGGGAGGTGGGGTAGGGATGTATATAATTGCAGGGAAAGAGTTATATGTACTTAAGTGTATGTCAAGTTCTTATTAGGTCTCTGTACTGAAGATTTAATTGTTTTTATAAGTTCACTTTTCACCTACTCTGTTCTTTGTGCAAAAGAAAACAAAAACAAAAACAAAAACCCATGCATCTTGGAAAACAGTTTAAATACTGTATATAAGATAATGAAAGTTAGTAATGCTCATTATTTAATAAAGTTTGTAAAGTACAAAGTAAAATATAGTGTGAATTAGTGTGTTGATTCTGGAAACATCAAGATTTGTCTGACTGATACTACTATACTACTTTGCCTCATCTTAGTCACCATGTAGAAAATAATTCAGGGTGGAATTCCCTGGTGAATCAGTGGCTAGGATTCCATGCTTCTCCTGCACGTGGGGCACAGATCTGATCCCTGGTCAGAGAAATAAGATCCCACATGCCTCTCAGTGTAGCCAAAAAAGAGAGAGAGAAAAGAAAAGAAGTGTTATAATGATAGAGCAGAAGCCTGTGACAGACCATTTTCTGCACCTCTTGATTACTTTTCAAATATTAAATTTAGCCTGAGATTAGCATACCTTTCTCTGAAATTCCCTTTAGGCTAAGTGCCTTTCCTGATGACTGGCTGTCACGGTGAGAGAAGATCCTAGAACAGCCTAGCAGGCAGTGGTGGGGTTGAAGGCAGGTGAGATAGAGGAGATGGGCCCAGAATGCTGAGATATTTTCGGTGCCAACAGGCAAACTTGCCTACTTTACTCCGGAGATGCAAGCCCATGGGCAAAGCCCACTTTGTGTATCTGTGATAAACAACGAAGCTTGATTTTCCTGACCATGGCTTATTCACAATGCGTCATACAATAGGAAAGGAAGAGAAACAAGCAGTTTCACTTCATTATCTCTAAAACCATGTTTATTCAGCTCAAACGTAAGAGAATAGGGTGGGGAGAACAAGTAAATCATCCGCTCTATGGGGCGAACACAAGCCTTCAGGCATCTTACCGTTTGTATGACAAGGTGTGCATATGCGTGTTAAGTCACTGGCAGCTGGATTCTTTACCACTAGTACCACCTGGGAAGCCCCATGGCAAGGTATGGCTGTCCATATAAGCATCCCAAGACCATGCGGGTAAGCAGATTCCTTCTTGTATGTACTAGTGAAATCAGAGGCTATAAACTGGTGACCTGGAGTCTGAATCTGGTTTTCACAATTTTAAAAAGTTTTAACATAAAAATCCAAATTTTCACCTTCTTTGAAAAAAAAATAATTAGATCTAGTCTCTTAAGCCCTGGATTCTGATGAGGTGACTCTGAGATCTGACGATGGAATTTAAAGGTGAGTATCATCCTAAAAGGTGGGGATGTAATCAGATAAGGCAGCGTGTCCCCAGAGAAAGAGAAACAGGTGTGGCTTTCTTGATATAAGAGAAGCCATTTTTGGCCTAAGCCATTTTGGGATCTAAGCCTGGCCAAAACGCTTGCCCTTGAACAGGTCTCAGTAATTAATGCTCCCCAGGGAACAAAAGTGGTACAGTGGTAAAGAATCCTCCCGCCAATGCAGAAGACAGAAAAGACTCTAGTTCGACCCCTGGGTTGAAAAGAACCCCTGGAGTAGGAAACGGCAGCCCACTCCAGTATTCTTGCTTGGAGAATCCCATGGACAGAGGAGCCTGGAGGGCCAAAGTCCATGGGTCACAAAGAGTCAGACACGACTGAGCGCACACACGACAACAGGGAACAAAAGTACAGATTGTGATTAGGCAAGAGAAGTAACACTATCAAAGATAGCATGTGAGTTGTGTAAGGACTGCCGGTTCTTTTTCCATGGTAAAGATCAGCCTGAAGCGCTCAACCACCGGAGCAGATCAACCAGAACATAAGGGATGATGATGATGACCTAGCTTCTTATCTGGTTGTCTTGCCAGTCTTCCCCATTTTCAGACTTGTTCCCCTCTATCCTCCTAAGTCTTAGGCAGCATAATATTTCTAAACACAGACAGAATCAAATCTTGCACAAAGGTCCCCAAATCTCTCTGCCTTTGTAGGAGCTGCTCCTTTTGCATGCATGGCCTTCCCACTACCATTCAGGACAGAACCTGCCCAGTCCTCAACATTCAGCTCAAAAACCACTATTAAGAACTGTGGAGGGTCTGGGATTTTACTAGCAAGTTAGTTACGCTAATTGCACTAACAAGTCAGCCTGCCTCTGCATCAGAGGTCATGACCACTTTCAGCAGGACAGGCAGCATGAGCTTCTCATTTGCATTGGTTTCCCTTCCTTTTCCAAGCCCACAGAGGCCTGCGGAGAAGCCACACTCTGCCCAGATATGCACAGCAGGGTGGTTTGTTAGGTAGTTAAGACATTAACAACAAGGAGATAACAGAGGCAAAAAAGAAAAGCAAGAGGGGAATAAGCAAGCTAAGCCGCAGCAATCTGGGCACCCTCCCCTGACAGTAGCAGCGAAGAGGTGATGGTGGCTAAAGACGGGAGGGAAGCAGTCCAGCCAGTCCCCACCCTGGAGACCCGCCCCTGTCCTCACCCAGAACAAAGGAAACTGTGATCAGCTGGTGGGCAATTTATCCTGATAAAGAGGGAGCCCAGTAACAGGAGATAATGTCCCTGGGCTGCACATGCTCTGTGTGTGTGTGTGCGCGCGCGCGCACGCTCAGTCATGTCTAACTCTTTGTGACCTCATGGACTGTAGCCTGCCAGGCACCTCTGTCCATGGGATTTTCCAGGCAAGAANTTGTTGTTGTTATAGTTGCTCAGTTGTGTCTGACTCCTTTGTGACCTCATGGACTGTAGCCTGCCAGGCACCTCTGTCCATGGGATTTTCCAGGCAAGAATACTGGAGCAGGTTGCCATTTCCTACTCCAGGGGAATCTTCCAAATCCAGGAATCGAACTTGCGTCTCTTGCGTCTCCTGCATTGGCAGGCGGATTCTTTAGCATTGCGCTACCTGGGAAGCCCCATATACACTCTGGATCGAACCCAGGTCTCCCGCATTGCAGGGGGATTCTTTTACCAGGTGAGCCACAAGGGAAGTCTCATATAAACTCTAGTAAACACAAACGCATTACACTAACATAATAATCTACATGTGGTTCTGCCCTCCCTTAGGTGGGTTTCTCTTAGTGAATCAAGAGTAGGGGCATATGCAATAATGAACTTGTTATAGAACTTGGGACAGTCACTCAAACAAAAATAATCACCCATGACAACACCCCAGCTCTTCCCCCTGTCACTCACCCATAAGTGCATTCCGCCTCCCGGCAGAATAACTCCTTATAAACATATTTAAACCTGTATGGGAAGGCTGGTTTCACTTCGCAGAAACAGCCGGCTCTCCCTCTGAGAGTGTTATCTATGCTTTAATAAACTTTGCTTTGTGCTGAATAATGAAGTGGTAGTTTGCAAATTTTTGCTTGCTGTCTCTAGGACTGAGATAGCTGCTCTGGGTCTCCCGTTGACTTCCTTGGTTAAAGCTCTCCGACCCAATGCATGCCTACCTGGTAATATCTCCACAGCTGAGGAATACTGGATTTAAGGAATCCTTTATCTTAAAGAGTTACTGGCCAACCTGTCCAATCTTTGACCCTGTTGGGAGGCATTATCTTAACTCTGTAGACAGCAAACATATCTGCCTTCTGCCCTGGAGGGAGACACTCTCTTCCAAGGTTGTTTGCTATACAAATATCCTTGCCAGGTAGCCTAGAACAAGACTGACATAAGACAGTCAGAGACGCAAAATGCAGGAGACCCATAGAGAGTGTCTCAGAGCAATCATATCGTTACCCCAAAATTGGGTTTACCTCTTGGTGGGTGTAAAGCCCAAAGACACAACCAGGCCAAAAATGGGGAGAAGGATTTATTACTTGCAGCAAGTAAGGAGAACACTTGACATGTTTCCCAAAGCAGTGTCTCCCCAACAGCAAAGTTGGGGAAGATTTTAAGGTAAGGGTACATGCCTATTTTATGAACGGGTTTGGGCAGAATTCAGCATAAAATTTGGGTAAAGGTTGACACAGTCCAAGCTTTAGTTGACTGAAGTCGGAAAAGGTTAGTATCATCATCCTTTAGGTTCCAGTTGATCTGATGGGAGTTTCTGATGACTCTCCGGGTCTGGAAAGGTGCCTCTTCTTAATGCTTATAGCACTAAACCTTCATGCTTTATAGCTTTCCATCAACATGCCTGTTTTTTTGTGCCAGTTATGCATAGTAAACTGACACCTGAGCCTCTGTCTGTCTTATTAAGTGTTGATTCCTTCACTCTAGGATAGAGGCTGGTATAGGAATATTTGCTCTAGGAATACTGGATTTAGGAATCCTTTATCTTAAAGACGGAGAAGGCAATGACACCCCACTCCAGTACTCTTGCCTGGAAAATCCCATGGACGGAGGAGCCTGGTAGGCTGCAGTTCATGGGGTCGCGAAGAGTCAGGCATGACCGAGCCACTTCACTTTCACTTTCCACTTTTGTGCATTGGAGAAGGAAATGGCAACCACTCCAGTGTTCTTGCCTGGGGAATCCCAGGGACGGGATTGCACAGAGTCGGACACGACTGAAGTGACTTAGCAGTAGTAGCAGTATCTTAAAGACCTACTGGCCATCTTGCCCAATCTTTGACCCTGGAGGGAGGCGTTATATTAACTCTGTGGACAGAAAACATTATCTGTCTTCTGCCCTGGAAGGAGACATAAATATTATATTAACCATACATATATATTCCTTATTGGAAACAAACTTTGATCTATGTGCAAATGTTATTGCAAAGTGTTACAGGAAAGAGAGTGGGGTGAGAAAAAGGATGGTCTCATCCCAAATCACGTCTGAGTCCCCGGGACAGCCGTCAAAAGGGAGTTCTTGGCTTTGTGCAGAAAAGAATTCAAAATCAACCCATAGTAAGGTGAAAGAAGGCTTATTCAGGGAGGAAACAGACTCTGGATGTGGGCCATCTCAGAAGGCAAGAGCAGCCGCAGGCAGTGGGGGTTGTCAGTTTTTATGTACATGTGCATGCTCAGCGGCTCAGTCATGTCCCACTCTCCGGGACCCCATGGACTGTAGCCTGCCAAGCTCCTCTGCCCATGGAATTTTGTAGGCAGCAATACTGGAGTGGATTGCCAATTCCTTCTCCAGGGGATCTTCCTGCCCGTGATTGAACTTGCATCTCCTGCATTGGCAAGTGGATTCTCTACCTCTGAGCCTCTTAGAAAGCCAAATTATGAGTATATAAGAACCCA